GGGGGGGAGTAAGCGAGCAGCTGTGTGGTGCTCAGTTGCCAGCTGGGGTTAAACCACGACACCAAAGTACATAGTCTGCTGCTGGCAACCTGGAAGAAGTCTTTTTTTTAAACCAAACCAAACCAAACCAAACCAAACCAAACCAAACCAAACCAAACCAAACCAAACCAGAAACAACCAAACCCATCATTTCCAAAAAGAAAAAAACCAGCAACCCAGGGGTCTTGGGATTCCTTGAAGTTCTTTCTTATTTGGGAAAACTGAAAGGCTATTTCAGTTATTTTTTGCTTTTGTTTTCAATAAGGTGGTTTCATCAAGTGTCATGGACAGGTTGTCACTGTAGTAGGTGACATTGCAAGACATCAAGTTGAAGAGGTTACTTCATGGAGCTGACTTGTTAGGTTTTTGCCTTGTTTTAGATGCAGATCCATAAAAACCTGTAGCTGCCAGAAGTAAAATATCCTTAGCCTTCTTCCTCTACCTTCCTTCTGGCTCAAGCCGCTGTCTAAGATGAGAGACACATGAAGTCCAAATTCTGTAGCAGTGTCTGTGGTCTCACAGCATTTCAGTACCTCACTTGCATTGGACTCCCATGGGATCCACGAATGAGGCATTACTGTCCCTGTCTTAGACATAGACATCTCAGACCATGATTCCAGCTTGTCCTAAAAGATGTATTTTAAACTATTTTTTTTTAATTTTAGTTTAGACCTGTAGCCCCTTTATCCTGTCTTCTGAGGAAGAGTACAAGAACAGGGATGATTAGGGGAATTAGCAGTGTCTCCTAGCTTCTAGTGAACCACTTTCTGTTTGAATCTGCCATCTTCTGCCATCCGTGCTACTAGAGAGCATTTAAATAAGCCCTGATGAAAAAGTAAGAGAGAAAGACAGTAGTATTGTCTCCATGATTTGCTGCCCGAGGTTTCACTTGGCTGTGGAAACCTGCTATAGAATGACATTGTCACCAACACGTGAGAAGGATAGGATATTCTGTGGGTAACAGGAGTAGTCAGAATTATAACAGTTACTGTTTAAAACAGAAAAAGAGTTGAAAGTAAGCCAGAATCCCTCAGTAATATCTAATCTGTGGAGTAGGAAGGGAATGTCATATAGCAACATATGGTGCTGCTCGTTACTGGAGACAACATTCTGTGGAACATGCTTTCTGAATTTGGACCCACAGTGCCAGTTCCCATGTCCTGTTTTAGAGATGGAAAATGAAGAGCTGCTGCAATTTGCGATTGCCCAGGAATGTACTCTATGAGGGTAACTTAAAATATCATCACCACAAAGTCCCCAATTCCATAGTTAATCTCTCTCTCCTTTTTTTTTTTTTTTTCCTTGTTTGTTTGGAGCCTTTCTGATCATTTCAGTGAAATCAGGGCAGGGGAAGGTGATTTGAACTTTCTTCCGGGGACAATGTATGCATTCATCTCACAATATAAAACAGCCATTACCCCAGTCTGATCTATACTCATGTACGAGTACTGATTAGTATTCTGTGAACAAGAATGTGCATTTTGAACTCACTAATTATTACAGCAGATTTTTAATAATTCTCTTCTTGTAACCCTCAATTTATCTTTATTGCATTTATGAAATAAATGTAGGAGCTCCCAGAAGGTGAATGTAATATTATTTTGTGCTCACCTCTCATCAGGGACTCTGTCAGAAGTTTACAAACATCAATTAAGTTTCACCATGCTGCCGTCTGGGAAATAACTTTTCTTACACCCATGTTACAGATGGATAACCAAACAGGAGCTAAACAAGTTGGCCTGGATCATGTAGCAAATTGGGAACAGAGTTCTCACAGTCTCCCAGTCCTTCACTCGGGTCTAACCAGTAAGCATGCTGCCACATAGTTTATTTACATTTTGAGACTGTTTTTAATGAACTAAGTTGCCATTTCTTTTTCTTCTGAATCATTCAAAACTTGCCAACATTTTATTTCAATAAAGCTTTCAGATGCTCAGGCTGGTGTTTATAGTTAAAGATAATGTTTATCCTCACCTTTGGTTGCTTCTAACATTCGTGTATGCTGCTAGCACAGGATGATAGCAAGCAAAGCACAAGTAACTTTTTGTGGTTCCTTTTAAGACTTGTTCCCACCGACAACAGTGGCTTTTGGATCAGTTCCTCATGCTCATATTATAAATTGATCTCTCCGGTTCCTCAATTAGTTTTATTTTTCCTTGCACGGAATCCTGTCCATTTTCTAATGTTTTTATGGTGGTGGTTGATAAGGCATGCCCAAGAGGATGAGGAGCTGTTTTTTTCTGTTGTGGATTCTTATACATTTATTCACTCGGGTTGGACTGATTACAACTTCCTTTTTTTTTTTTTTATTTTTCATTGTAGAGTTTTTCTTCCTGTATTGTTGGTAGCCCCTTTCAACCTAACAGTGATATATCTAATGGTGGAAATGGAAAGCTTCTAGTTGTTACAATTACTTTCCTTCCGTTTCAGCTCTAGCTAATTAAAATTTTCCATGGGTTTTTTTTAACGGTCATCTCAGTTCTCCTTTATGTGTGATATTAATTATAAAGGCAGAAGGACCACTATTACAGTAGTCACTCTATGACACTGGAGGATTTACTTCCATGTGAAAAATGGGTCATTATTGTTACTATATTGGAAGTTCCTGGAATTATTTCTCCTAGAGAGAAGGTGGTGCCAAAGAAAACTTGGTACCTTACTGTACTGATAACTTCCAAGTTTTAGGGACATTCTCTCAGGAGAAAGCCATCCTTACTAACCTATAAGATTTAGAAATGCCAGATGGTTCTTTCTGATTTTGGCACTGAGGTGGACAATCATTAGAACAGATGGGTAGGTACACTATGATAATTCTCTTTGTAATAAGCAGCATTATTATTTAAAAATATGTCAGATTATACCTCAAATATTGGCTTAGGGAGCAGTCAGCGGAGGTCCGATATCACCCTGAAGTGACTGGTTACTGTTATATCTCTTCCCAAAGGAAATCCGGTCATATGATGCAAACATTAATCCCAGCAGGGTGACTGTATAAAGTATGATTAGCAAGGTTACCTGTGTATAAAGGAATGTAAGTTAATAACATTAAGAATATCCACGTAAGGATATGAAACTGTCCAGACTGGCCTTTTGCTTTACAAGGGGCTAGCAGTCTGTCAAGCACCCCAGCAGTCACTGGCTGACTGCTTGCCATTTGGGCAAGTGGTAATCACATCTAATCATGCCCAGGGGACACCAATGTTTCCAAAGCAGATGGGAGCAGCCAGGGGGTGGGAGATCAAAGGACATCTGTGAAGGAAGAAGTGACGGGAAAAAGAAGATTTGAAAGAGAAGATCTGAGGGGTTGAGGAGAAGCAGAAAGCAGAGAATCCCAAATCAAATCCTCTTCTGTTTAAAGATTTTATTTCCTTTGATTGTGCTAAGCAACTAAATGCTGGGACTTGAGCTCTGAATGTCTAACAGTGGGTTCCATGTGAACCTTTAGAGCTGAGTGAAGTAGAAAGCTTTCTTTTCATCTTTTATTAAATTGTTCTGTAAATTTTGTAGCTCTCTTATCTCTTTAGCTGGTGTCAGTAAATGGTTTATTTTACATTTACCTTAATTTGGTTTGAGTTTAGGTTGATTTTAGGGTGCTGGCAAATGCCAA